TTTCAAAGGTTTTTACTATATTCATAATGTTTCACAACCATCCCCACTGTTTAATTCCAGAATATTTTTATCACCCCTAAAAAGAACCCATATTCATGAGAAGTCACACTCTATTCTCTTCTCTCCCCAGCCCCTGACAACCACTAGCCTACTTTCTGTATCTACGGATTAGCCCATTCTGGGTGTTTTATGTAAATGGAATAATACAATATGTAATCTTTTGTGTCTGGCTTCTTTTAATTAGCAAAATGTTCTCTAGGTCATCCATGTTGTGAAATATGTCAGTACTTCATTCAAGTCACTCTCTGATTAAGTTTTTGAAAAACAGCCAAACTGTGTTCTAAGGTAGCTGCACTATTTTACATTCCCACAAGCAATGTATGAGGGTGCTAATTTCACCACATCTTCACCATCACTTGTTTTCATTTTTTTATTACAGCCATCCCAGTGCATGTGAAGTGGGATATCACTGTGGTTTTGATTTGCGTTTCTTTAATGATTAATGATGTTGAACATCTTTTTCATGTGTCATTTGTATATCTCCTTTGGAGAAACATTTGGTCAAATCCTTTAGCACTTTTTAATTGGGTTGCATTTTTATTGTTGAGTTCTTTACAGATTCTGGATACAAGATCCTTATCAGATATGTGATTTGCAAATATTTTCTCTGTGGATTATCTTTCCACTTTCTTGATAATGTTTTCCAAAGAAGAAAAGTTTTTTATTTTAATGAAATCCAATTACCTACTTTTTCCTTAGTTGCTTGTACATTGTTGTATCTAAGAAACCACTGCCAAATTCAAGGTCATGATTTACCTCTATGTTTTATTCTAAAAGTTTTATGATTCACGATCCTTCATTTTTTGATGTGGTTCCCTCTCTATGCTCTGGTGTAAAGTCCTCAGGACTATCCTCCAACATTAATTGTCTTTTCCACTGTGTTCTACCTTGAATTTATACTAGCACTGAGAACTTTTTCTTTTTTAAAATTGCAATGATTGTATGTTTGTTTCCTTTTTTAAGTTTCAGATTTTGAATCACTTCTTTTGCATATATCTGCTCTTCTTGGTTTCTGTACAATTTTACTTCATTGTTTTTAGGATTATTTTTCTCCATTTGGCTCTTTGACTATCCTAATTACATTTTAAAGTGTTTGACAGCCTACAGCAAAAATTAACTGCTTCCAGAAGAAATTCATGTTCCAGTTGCCGATTTCTGTGATACATTCTGCTCTCTGCTACTGGCACCAATTCTTCCTCCTGTACCTGTGTCTCTTGCTTTCTAACCTGTACTGCTCCTCCCCATGGCAAGCCATACCTTCCTGTTTCTTGACTTTACCTTTGGCCAGATCGTTTTTCACAGCAGCTGTGTCATTTTATGTTCCTAGAACGAATGCACCAGCATTCCAATTTCTCCACACCTGCACCAATATTAGCTATTTTCTGTTTGTGTTTTACAGTAGCCATCCTAATGGGTGTGAAGTGCTTTTTCATTGTGGCTTTGATCTGCATTTCCTTAATGACTAGCATCTTTCCATATCCTTATTGGCCATTTGTAGATCTTCTTTGGAGAAATGTCTATTCCAGACCTTTGGCCATTTTTGAATTGGGTTTTGTTGCTGTTGTTGTTTTGCTGCTGTTGAGCTGCCAGAGTTCTTTATATCTTTTATACACCTGGATATTAACCTCTTATCAAATATATAATTTGAAAATATTTTCTCCTATTCTGTGGGTTGCCTTTTCACTGTAGTAATGTGTCTTTTGATAAAAAAAAAAAAAAAGCTTTTAATTTTAATGAAGTCCAATTTATGTATTGCTTTTTTTGTTGCCTGTGACATTTTGGCTAATTTCAAGTAGAGGATATTTTGGTTTTGTGTTCTTTCTCTCTCTTGCCTGTCTAGAGTTTTGTAATTACTTCCACCTCCTCCCTTAAACTTCCACCTCAGAGCCTTATAATGGCACTTTAGGACTAATGCCCTATAATCATATTGGGATACTGCAGATCCAATTCCAAAGCTAGCTTGGTCTGGCAGAAAAGGTGTCCCAATGTCCTTTCATCTCTCTAGGCCAACAGCTTCCTAATGTTATTAAGCTGTAGCTTGGAGGAAACAGGTTGGCAGCAGTTGCTTTGGGCTCTCTATCTCTGCCCTGTATTCAGGTTATAGCCCTAGCTCTGATTCCCAGTGTCCCCTCGAGTACTTTTAGTCCCTTTTGCTCCACAGGATTCGAGCTCCTTCCTGCCACTTCTTACTCAGGATGTGGATCACAGCACAGGGTTTCTGTAATTCTCTTTTGTTTCTGGTTCCTAGAGTAGTTTGTCTCTTTTTTATAAATATATGTTTTATTATAATTTTACCTACCTTTGCATGTGTTTGAGCAGAATGTTTGTCAAAAAATGAACTTACTAGACCATCTTGACCAGAATTCACAGCAAATGTTTTCACCTCCTAATGACTGAATTGGATCAGCCTGCAGCAAAGTGACTTGACTGCATTGGATCTAGTCATGTAAATGGTGTTGAAGAAATATAAAACCCTAAAATTTCAACTAAGCCTATTCACTGGCTGTAAAATTAAAGGTTTTTAAAAACTTCTATCTGCTGGTGGTTGTTCAGAAGACTCATCTCTTCTACAACTGTGAGATGGTGAGGTGGAGCTGTGAGCAGGAGCCAGCATGCATGGGGAGGGAGGGGGCAAATGAGCCAGAGGGAGGCATCTGTGATGTTCCTGAGGCAGGAAGGGAATTAGAGAGCTGGGCATTGCAATGAGGTGGTAAGCACATCTGCTAGTGAAAGCATGATTCCAGATCCTTCCCTACACCCCTCAGGATGTGGAGCACAGCTGACCTGCAGCTTCTGCCCTGCAGTGTCAATCTGTACACTGGGTAGTAGCAATTACACAGATTAATTATGTCTGGTGTTTTGAGAACTACCCACTTCCACCTCTGACCATCTCCCAAGTCCTGTAGGCAGAGGAGTGTGTTTTACAGCCCTGCAGGCTTTGAAGATGCTCAGAACTCAGAGCCTAAGACACTCCTTTTGGGGCCACTTTAGATGGCTAAAGACAAGGTAGCTGTGATTCTGACTCAGAGGCCTTGGAAACCCAGTGGCCATCCCTGGGTCCCCAGCAGAGCAAGTGGGACCCAGAACAGCTCTGCATATTCTTGGAGATGACCAGGATGCCCTCAGAAGTCCCACCTGGCCTAGCAAGGCTATGACCTTGCCAGGAGCAAACACCATTTCTTCACACTGGAATTGCTTGGTTTAAAGCCGATTTCCTACAAATGCTCTGTAGTCCTAAGAGCATAGAAACCTCAAGCAGAGACGAGGTGGGAAGGGGCTTCCAGAGACTACAGTGCAACATCTACTCACTACTCAAAACCAAGTTAGTAGAGTTGAAGCAAATCCAAACTTCAAGATGAACCTTTTTTTTTCTGAGGATTGTTCTCTTTAGTGTAGTCATAAACTAAATGGGAGACTGATCACTCACACACTACACACCCAGCTGAGAAACATTAATGCACACCCAATAAGTGCCTGTCACCTTGGCAGCACAGGGGCAGAAAGGAATAAGACAGTCCTCATCATGGAAAAAGACATCTATCAATGAACAATGGGACTTAAAGGCAAACCATTGTAATACAATGTTAATTCTACCTAGATGATTTTGACGGAACTGCAAAGAGAAATTAGGGAAGAAGAGAATAAGGAGCATCCCAGGCAGTCACAGAGGCAAGAAAATTTCAAGGGTGACCTAACAGATGCAAAGTCCACTTGTTTGACTTGGGTGAGGGAGCTACAGAAATTGAAATTTAAAAAGCAGGCAGACATAAGTCACATTTCATCTAAGATGCTACAAATTGTAAAATGAAATATTATTTCATGTACAACCAAGAAAAAAGAATGCTGCTAATTGAATTATCACACACCATTGACTGCAAAACATCCCAACTTAAAATGGGTTAAAATGTAAGGCAATATGCCTCTCAGAATGGATGAAATATGGTAATTCCTCAAAGAAGAAATGTAAAGGTGAATTAATACTAAAAAAACCGTTTTTAGTAGAAAGATAAAATAAATTCAAACCAAATGTAGATATCATTTTGCTCTTACCAAATTGGTAAAGTATTGAAAATAATGGTTAGCATTAGCAAAGAGATAATGAAATGGACAAACTCATGCTAAAAGCATACATTTATACTATATTTCTGGAAATCACTTTGGTAGTAATGTATCAGGAACCCAAATATGTGCTTATTCTTTGAGCCAGTAATCTTACCTAGAGGAATCTATCCTAAATCTATACTTAACAGACTCAGAAGATTTCTGTACAAGAATGTAAGTTCACTTATAAAAATGCAAGTTATATAAATGCTATATTATCAGTAAGTATATAAACAGTGGCATAATCATAGAAATGTTAGTCAATTGCTGAAATAGTTGTTAAACTATCTAATAACATGGAGAAAATCTCATAATGTAGTGGTGAGTTTTAAAGGGGTAGAAACAAAACTCTACATAAAGTATGAATCTAATTCAAATCTAGGGAAAAGGTATTTAATATAGACTAGAAGGAGAGGTAATCTTGGTTAACTCTGAGTTGTAGCATTATTGGTGACTTTTTCTTCTTATAATTTTTATTATGTTTCAAATTTTCTACAGTGATATGATGTTTATCTTTTATAACCTTTCCTTACCCCAAACAGATGTGCTTTGCCAAATTCTGCTTGTTAAAATTAAATAAAAATTAAATTGTAGTCAAGAATGTAAGCACATGCATGGAGACAGAACGATCAATAGATGCCCCCTTATATTAAACAATAATTACACTTGATCCTCATGAATACTTATGATTTTCCAGTACATGTTAGATTGGGTCAAGCAGAGGTCATACGTGCCTTCCATATTTCTCAATGGTAGAGATTATAATGAGCACCCACCATGCGTCAATACTAGGCTAAATTTACAAGCATTATTTCTAATTCTTACCTTCTCCCAGATAGATGAGAAAACAGAAGTTCCAAGAAGCTGAAGAAGCACATGTGAGCATGCACAATTTGAACACAGCAAAGCTGGGATTTGAACCTGGGTCTCACTCTCACCATAGACTCACACTCCTTCCCTTGCACTATTTGCCTCTAAAAGGCAGATCCTTCCATAGCATGTCCAGATGAACATCAAAGAGGGCCCAAATTCTATTCTTTCTATAGGTGAGTGGGGGAGATTGGAAACCAACTACAGAAATATTTATGTCCATTCATTCCTAGAGAGACCTCACAAATGTGGATGACAAACCTCTCAGATAACAAGAGTAGACTGGATAACTATGGGGCCAGGTTCTCAGTTTATCAACTCAACTCCTGAAAAACTAGTCCTTTCCATTGTCTGTGGTCACTAAGATAATGGTGCAATGCTGTTTACTCACCTGGCAACGTAAGGCGACTCGTGGAGCTGGTGCTTGGGGCTGGTGAGCTGTGAGAACGTCGCTTTGTGCCTGTGAAGAGAAAAACGAAGATAAGAAAAAATAGGATTGTAAAAAGACCTGGTGGACAAGTAAATGTTCATCTGAAATGTTATTAAATTTGGGTCTGAAAACAACCTTTAGAAGCAGATTAGGTGAGGTTGCAGGGTGGCACATGTTCTGTGGTCCAGAAAGGCTGGGAGTGTCGCCTTTGCCTTTGTGTGTGTGTGACAATACTCAGTTCCTCTGGCTGGAAAGTTGACATGTTGGGATCAATGTGCCACTGAGCAAGCCTACATTTTAGGATTGCAGGGGAAGCTTTCTAAATCTGCAGTTGCCTGGGTGTCACTCCCACAGTTCTAGGGTGGAGGCCCAGCATTGATGTTTCTAAAGCCCTTTATTCTAATGTGCTTTCATCCAGGATGGAGGACTGTGTGAAGAAGGGGAAGCTCTGATTTAGAATGAGGGAATCAGGGGTTTATCCCTGCTTTGTGCTTATAGGCTTTACTTGTTATTGGAGCTCAAGCAATTAACTGGATCTTTCTGAAGCTCAGGACTTCATCTGAGAAATGAGGAGAATAACAGCAATTACATCAAAATGTCCCAATGAGGATTAAAGGAACCAAGGTGTGTCCAGTGTCCAGGAATGATGGAAGACTCCACAAATGTTAGGTTAGTGGCATTTCTGAGTTTCCCAGCAACTGGCAACAGGATTCCTATTAGGAAGGGAATTATCTTTGTTCTAATAAAGTATTTAATGGGTCACGAGGCAATGAAAAGGCAAAGCTCAGGATGGGATCAATAAGAAGAGAGCAGAACAAAGTCACAAAGGGAAGACTGAGTGGTTCTGCCAAAAAAATTTACATTTTTTGTACATATGTATGTGTACGTATATACACATGCATTTATTTACATATAAATATATACACATATATGCACACATATACATAAACATAAATATTTATTTACTCATTCATTCATTTATTTTGTCATTCAAAGTGCGAAGAAAGAGGCCTGGAAGACAGATTCTAGCAACATGGCAGATGCCTGCAGTCTGAGCTGGCAGAAATGCAGAGAGAATTCCTCAGCAGAGGATATCCATGAGTCAGTGTTAGGTTATTTCTGTTAGGAGTCCCCAGAAACTTCCCAAATTTTAGTAAAGTCTACTTTATATGCAGAGGCCTGGTGTAAGTGGAAGCTGTGCTAATTGAGAAGACCCTGTGTGTCAATATAGTCACCGGTAAAGATAACAAGAGAATCCAAAGGCTGGGCAGTGTCAGAGGAAGCAGAGACTTGGGGTTGGAGGTGAGTGGGTGAGTGGTAAGCTTTCCCTATCCCAGAATCCCTGGGGAAGAATGGAGACATGCACTTTGGATGACATCTGAGATTGTTCCATTTTACTTTGTTATTTTTGAGATGGAATCTCACTCTGTTGCCCAGGGTGGAGTGCATTGGTGCGATCTCGGCTCACTGCAACCTACGCCTCCTGGGTACAAGTGATTCTCCTGCCTCAGCTTCTGAGTAGATGGGACTAGAGGTGTGCACCACCATGCCTGGCTAATTTTTGCAATTTTAGTAGAGACGGGGTTTCATCAGGTTGTTCAGGCCGGTCTCAAACTCCTGACCTTGTGATCCACACACCTCTGCCTCTCAAAGTGCTGAGATTACAGGCATGAGCCACGGCACCTGGCCTCATTTTAATCTTAGTGAACAGAGCACCAATCCTGACATTCTGCAACAAATGCCCTCCAGACAATAACAAATATTATTGTTAATCATTATTTATTTCTTTTCTTGCAGCAGTAGTAGTGTTAATAGTAGTAAAATAGAAAACATAAAATTAATCTAAACAGCTCAGACCTACAAAAACTTAATTTGCATGAGGTGAAAGGAACTGTATGTGGTGGGACTTTATTTCTCCATTTTCCAGGTCTCGCAGATGCCTGGAAGGTCAGAGTTGCTGGAGAACATAGAGGGTCCAACCCTGGCTGTAGCTATGCCTCACTTCTTGAACTTCAGCTGAGTAACTCAGTTACTCCTCAGCTGATTTTTATAAATACGACTCCAAGGTCCTTGTTTGGACCTTGAAGCAGAATCTCCAGGGAATGGAGCCACGAATTTGCATTTTAACAATTTCACCAGGTGAGTGCAATGATGATCTTATAATCTGGTACTTCATTGGTCTAATGAAATGTCTTGGACACTCTGAAGTGAAAGATTTACCCAAACTGACACTCTGTGCCAGGGTCAGTCTTGCCACACTGCACAGCCCCAGTGGATGCCGGTCGCACTGTATCCTACACAAAGATTGGTGGACCCTGGGTGTGCAACAAGTGGGCCCTGTTAGGAGGCATTACCAGAGGGCACATCTGTACCTTTGACCTTGTGGTCCAGAGCCATTCCTGCTCCATCTGAAATGTCTCTGTGTCCCACTGGATCTGCCTCCACTATGGGGATGCCAATCACTGCATTTAACCCTCCACTCACAAGATTTTTTTGCTTGTCTCATTGAACCTTTGGGATAGGGTTTCTCAACAGTGGCACTGTGACATTTGAGCTATACAATTCTTTGTGGTGGGGACTGTCCTGTGTACTGGAAAAAGTTTGGCAGCATCCCTGGCCTCTACCCATGAGATGTCAGTAGCCCCTCCCTAGTCATGACAATCAAAATCATCCTCCAGATGATGACAAACATCCTCTGGAAGCAAAAGTGCCCTCAGTTGAGAAATGCTATTTTAGGTTGAAGGCAGGGCTTCAAGTTTTATTCAGAGCTGTGGTCCCCAATTTGGCTGCTTGGTCATTGGTAACAGGCAATCCCACATATTAAGCAGTTACTATGGCACTGGTGCCATATTAGGTAGGCACCGTGAAATATAGATTTATTGTTGTTTCTAATGTTAACATTCTGACAATAAGATTATTCCCATTTTATAGCATTCGAAGACAAAAATGTTTAAATATCTTGCCTAAAGTTACTGAGTGTTGGGGTAAGAGGGAAAAATTTAAGTCAAGATCATTCAAAGTTCAAACTTAAGGAAATTTTTCCCCTGACTCTCGCTGCTTCTTAACCAACCCATTACCTGGGTTTCCTTCAAGCACAGTGTCCCAAAGTCATCTAAGAGGAAGAAAAACCTGGGACAATTATTTTAACAAAAAGAAAAAGTAAAACCAGATTCCCAGGCCTCACTAAGCTCTCAGAGCCATCATTTCTGGAGGCAGGGCTTAGGGACCTGGGATTTTCACAAGTGGCCCAGGTGATTCCCATCATCAAGGAGGCTTGGAACACCTTGTGTGGTAGAAATTTTTTCTTTTCTTTCTTTTTTTTTTTGGTCTAACTAATGAAACGTGTGCCACTCTGCTCTTTTTTTTTTTTT